CGCTAGGTCATGTTTGAGGGGGGTGGAGGCTGGTCTATACAGTGGTGCCTCGACTTACAAACTTAATCCGTTTCAGAATGGTGTTCGTAGGTCGAAATCCTCATAAGTCGAAGCACCATTTCCCATTGAAATGCATGGGAACTGGATTAATTCATTCCAGTATTTTAAAAAAATACAACATAAATAAATAAATAGATAGATAGATAGATAGATAGATAGATAGATAGATAGATAGATAGATAGATAGATAGATAGATAGATAGATAGATAGATAGATAGATAGATAGATAGATAGATAGATAGATAGATAGATAGATAGATAGATAGATAGATAGATAGATAAATAAAGCACACAGAAAGCCCCATCGGAAGGCACTGGGGCTTTAAAAAAAACAACCAAAAATAAACAGAGCAAGCCCCGAAGGGTGCAAAAAATAAACAAATGAAAACCCCCCAAAAATAAACATTGAGCAATCCCCACGCTGGGACTGCCAAAAAAAAAAAAATCAAAGAACAAACACAGCTCAGAAACATAACCTCCCTCAGCTGAAACCCACCCTGCAAAACCCACCCAGAAGTTTCTAAAAAGCAAAAAGCAGCATCTTACCAGGCAGGCCGAAGCCTCCTCCAATTACACTCACTCCCTGGCAGATGGTGGCTGGTGACAGGCCCCGGCCGGCGGCGTAGGGCAGCCAAGGTGGCAGCAGCAGGGCTGCCATGAGTAGACCTGTGCCTTTGGCGGGCCTTACTGATGAGTAGACCAACGCCAGGGATGGGAAGGGAGCGCACCGGCTTCCCATGGCTGATGGCGAACCGGAGCTGCCCCGCTTCTCCTTCCTCCTTCTGTGCTGCCACCACATGCCCTGTCCGCGGAGGAGCCCCTCAGACCCGCATGCCCCAGCTCAGCGCCTTTGGCGGGCCTTACCCATGAGTAGTCTGCACCTTTGCAGCATCTTACCCATGAGTAGACCCGCCCTAGAGATGGGAAGGGAGCGCACTGGCTTCCCACATCCAGTAGAGATCTGGAGCCCCCCACCTCTCCTTCCTCCTTCTGCAACGCAGGAGTAAAAAAGTTCCCTGACCCCCTGCTCTAACTGTTGGGGCGAAAGAGCTACAAAAAAGCAGCCTCTTCGCCATCAATGGATTGAATTTCCCGCCTTTTCCCCCTGCCTTTTCTCTTCTTATGTCGAAGCTCCGCTCACAAGTCGAAGCAAAATTTGAAATGTTCGTAGATGGGGCGTTCGTAAGTCGAGGCATCACTGTATTTAACTCCAATGATTTCTCCATATGCATGATTAACTGTGAATAGGATGTAAAATCCTCAGAAGGAGAGGGAGGATGCATATCAGCAGCATCCGAGTCAGGAGTGGGTAGATTTGAGGTTGACTCCTTCGACATCTCTGATTGGAGATCTTGTTCAGATTCAGATGAAGCTACAGAATCCCCTGAATCTCTACCAGAAGATAGAGGTGGTGAAGGTGAGTGGTGGTGGGCCATTGACACAGATGCTGTAGTTTGTGCCAGAGGTGCAGCTACTTCTACCTCAGGTGGATGTACAGCTCTTGAGGGTGCACGAGACTGAGTATGTGTCTTAGGATGAGATACTGGGGCTCTAGGGTGCTTTTCTGGTTGAAAGGTACTCTGGTCTTAATGTTGTCGCTTGGAAGGGTGTTTCATGACCATCGGGTCGAGCTGGATGTATGCTCGATGTTGATGCCGAGGAGGTGAGGGCGATACCGATGATTCTGAAGATGGATACATGTATCACACCCTCTTAGATCTAATATAGTCCTCGGTGTCATATACGGGCTCGATGTCATACTGTTGATATTGATGTCAACCAACACGGGGATCCATTTCAACATAAAGCAGCTCTTCATACTCAGCTGAAGTATGATGCAGGAGCACAATAATCTCCTGATGTCGAGGGAGCTGTCAGCCGGGGGATATATGCTGACACTTTGACAGGTCTTTCCAAGGTGAAACATGTGGCACCTCCTCTGATTCCAACATTTGAGTAATTCCCGCCCACCTGATCGTAATAGGGCTGGAATGGTCTGAGGCTGGGCTGGAAATAATCTCAGCCTCAGAATGGCCTTGCGTTGGAGACAGGCTGGTGACTGATACCGATGCCTGTGTTTGTGGTCGAAGACCATCTTCATCCAAAGTCAAGTCTTGCATCTCCCTGATGGGCTCTTCCAATATAGGTGAAGGCAGTGTTGCTCGGACCGGAGAAGGCTCTGTATGATGAACAGATTTAGGATACTTTGATTTCTTTTGTTTAACGACTTCTTTTTTCCTTTTAGGGTACTTAGTAGTCGTCTTCGGTATCGACGTCGAGCTCAGTGCTGAAGATTTTTTCAGCTTTGAAATTTTTGAAGATGCTTGAGACGATGGGGTACCAGGTGCCAGCGAAGCTGCGGGGTCGGGGTGAGGGGTCAGAGGAACAGATGACAAGGTAAGCTCCATAGTAGCTGGGCCCGATGGTCTCAATGACATCTCCCACAGATGGGAGTGAAGTCGTTGCAGATGTTGCTTTAAGGCTGGTTTGGTTAGCTTCTTACACTCTCTTGAGAGGACCGGGCTGGTGTCTTTCCCCTAAACAAAATAGGTAGCAATTGTGGCCATCCGTGAATGGGATCTTATTTGCACACGACACACACCTTTTAAACAGGACTGAAGAGGCCATAAAATTTGGCGGGAATCTAACAGAAAAATAAATGATTGAAAGAACTCACAGGAGATGTTATGAGATAGGTCAATTGCAGTCCTAATCAAACCAGAATATCAGTCCAAAGATAGAATCAAGTAAATCCAATGATAAAAGTCCAAATTGTAATACAAGGCAACACAATGAGCGGTCCAAGTTCAAAGCCAATCAATCAAGTAATAATAGTCCAAATCAGGAAGAATAGAAGGCCAAGACAGTCTGGGTCAGTAAATCAGATAATAATCTTAGTTAAAAACCAATCTGTAGGTCAATACCAGAAGATTTTAGAAGAAGAATTAGCTCAAGCGATTCGAAGTAGTCCGATTGCAGCGGCGGAGCATGCGCGATACAGGGAGATGTTTCACTTCTCATTTTGAGCTCTAGAATATTCCGAAGAGTCCTGAGCAGGCGCAGTTTAACACATTTGTGTGCATTTACAGAGACCACAAAGAAGAACCTAATGTTCAATGTCCTGTATCAGATTTTGCTTGGTCTAAAATATATCCTGTTCTTTGGGGACTGTTCTAGAAGAAGGTGCTATTGGAAAAACCTTGTGGTGATTAGCTATGGATAAAAATTTTATTCCAGTTGGATTTTCGTCAGAATCCACCAAATTCTGCAAAACGTAAACATGAGAAAGTAAATCTTTAATTCAAATTATGCTATCCATATTGGAACATGTACTACTGGATAATTCAAACATCATTTCCTTTAGTTGTTGTAGGTTTTTTGGGCTGTTTGGCTGTGTTCATGAGGTTTTTCTTCGTAACATTTTGCCAGTCTCTGTGGTTCGCATCTTCAGAGAAAAGGAGATAGAACACAGACAGAGTTCTAGCTCCTGTTGTCTGAAGATGCCAGCCACAGAGGCTGGCGAAATGTTAGGAAGAAAAACCTCAAGAACATGGCCAAAAAGCCCGAGAAACCTACAACCATCAGATCATGGCCATGAAAGCCTTTGAGAATGCATAATTTCATTTAGTTGAAGAATAGTGCTCTGGTTTCCAAGACAGGGGAAAAAAATCAGGCTCACTTTGCCTACTGAGTAATACCCTGCTTAGTGTTCAGGATACATTCCAAGAGAATGGAGTGCTAACTGAATTAGTGCTAAATGGATCATTTTAACGAACTGGTGCAGAGTGGATAGACTGGGTCCAGGTTCTCCTGGAGACTCAGTCTACCTCTGTTAGGTAGACTGGGCCCCCATCAAGTACCACAATATGGCCACCTTTCCATACACTTTAGGGTGAATCAGCACTAAATGGTACACCTCTATGTGAGGTATAACTGTAAATAATTTTATTGTGCCTCATTCCTACTATATGTATCTACTTCATGTTTGGCCCAGTGGATGTCTCCAGTTTCTTTTGGCTTTCAATCTCACTATCCACTTACCACTTCAGATGTAGAGTATAAACCTTATGAACAAAGGCTGGGTGGCTAAGTTTTTTTCATATTCCCATGAAATATACAGATTGAAAGCTACAGTTCCTATGAACGAGCTTTAGTCCTTCGGAATCAGCTGAAAGATGATATTACTTCATATAGATCATGGAATTAGCTATCAGAAAATATGGTAAGGGAATTTATGATGGCTTTAAAGCATTAAAAGAAGTTTCTGAAGGTTAGGTTAATCAGCAGCCATTCTTTGTGAGACCTAAAGAACACCTCATGTTTGAAGGTAGTGTGACACTTAGCACCATTGCCTTGAAGAATAGAATAGTGGGCTATTCCTATCATACTCCCACATGTGGATTCTTGGGTCATTTTGTAGGCCACAGAGGAAAACAAGGTGCCAGATTAAGAATGCCTTTCATCTGATCCAGTTGGTTCATATGAATATACACATTCATTTATTAGTGACCAGAACCTATTGGTTATTTATAATGGCATAAGTACAATGGCATAAACTTCAGTGGCAAACTGCTGCCAGTTGACAAGTTACCAATTGTATCTCTTGGTGCACACCAACTTAGCATGTGATGAGGAATCTACTGTAAGTAGCAACTTATTAATTAGTAGCAATTCATCACTACAATTTACTCCACTGCACTTATACCAGTATAATCAACAACAGGATTCTGGCTAATCCGTTTTTCTATGACACTATTGTCCCCAAAGCAAGACCTTTGAAAAGAGTAAATAATTATTATATTGAATATGTTACCAATATGAAACTACTGAACCAACATAATATAAACAACATAAAGAGGAACACTAATAGTATCAGATCAGACTTTAGTACCTGAGTTTCTGTCATAACATACAATAAGCAGAAAAAAATGTAACTTACTTTTCAACATCTATATGTCTTGTTGGAGAACAACCAATAACAATAAAAAATTGCTAAAAAGAAGAACATGTCAGTGTGGTCAGTATCCCCCCCCCAAATATTCAAAAAATAAAAATAAAATCAGCTAAGCATATTTTTGGCACAATCCGTAGCTGAATAATTACATTAAATTAATCTAAAACATTATGAACATGTTTTGCCATAATAATAATATAATACAATGGGATATGGATCATTATCTGGATACTACAGAAAGATCAACCCTCCTTAAGGGAGTGTGATCCCCAAACTTCCCTCAGCAAGTTCCTTGCCAAGAAAAGAAGAGGGTTTCCAATTTCATAGTGTCACATTGGGATTCAGAAAATGTTTCACTCTGTTGAGTAGATGTAAATATCACTTGAGAAGCAGTCTGGTGACTATATATAAAAACCTCATCAGGTTGCAGTAGGGAGGACATGCATTAGCAGATGGGCAATTTGTGTGCAGTGTTGAATTACCAAAGGAGGGGAAAATGTACCTTTCATCCTGTGTCTCCTGCCATATTAAGGACAGTAGGCTGTGAACCTAGGCTGGAACACCCCAGGCTGAATTATGGGACTGGGAGATATCAAATGGCAGGAGGATGAGCAGCTCTCTTACCTCTATACCATTCCACTGAATTATGAGACCAGGGGATCTTTTTCCTCAAAAGTCCCACCTCTAGTAGTCACTGGATGTTACTCTGAGGCCACCAGAATGAAGAAACTACAAAAGCTCTATCTACAGTCTATTCAGGATTTTCACTGCTCCGTTTCACTCCCACTTTAGCAATTTTCCATTTACTATCATTAACCATTATCAAGCCTCCCTTAACTGCTTACATTGTTTCCCCCATAAGCTTTTTGTACAGTGATAGAACATGTTAGCCCCGAAACCTAAGTATATTTTGAATTCAAATACTGAAAGTATATATATATTTGGTATAATCTCAGGTATTAGCCTACATCTAGTTACTCTGATTCTAATGACATGACTTCTGAGCAATGAAAGTTTCTTCAGTTATATATTTAGCAATGTATTATGGGAATCAGCTGGGTTTGTTTTTTACATTATAGACTCGTATCATTCTGCTTTTTAAGATTTAATATCTCTTGCTGAAAGCTTACCTTATTATTAGAAATACATGTTCTTCCAGTTTCAGAAGGCCTCAGATCAATTGTCATAACACCTTCTGAAAAAATTCTGGAGGACAATATTTTTCATAAAAATAAATTCATTTCATAACATGTAACATTAATCATGAATGTCATACATTTACCAGAATCTTATTAGTATTCATGTAAGAATTCTGTAACTAGCCATGGCTAATTGCAGAAGTTATGGGGCATGTCATTGTTACATGCCTGGTTACACAACTGATATGTGGCCTGGCAATTCATAAGTTCGCCATAGCAAGTTACTTCAACAAACTTTATATGAATAAGAGTACAACTTTGGCCTTTGGTTTTTAACAATCAACATTTTTTTCTCTTGCAAAAAGATCTGATCCATAAATGGAAATTTCTAAGGCTTGCAATCTGCAATACAGGTAAATTTAGGATTCACTGCCAGAAGGATGTCTAGTAGTAGAAATGTCAGATGGCAAGAGTACTTCACTAGTGAAGCTATGAATGAAGGGACCAAGAAATAGTGGCAAAAAGCATGGGGCAGTACAGGGAAATTCCTCCCCATTGACTTTGATCGGTAGGGAAATAATTAATAGTGGCTTCCATCTAAGCTCAAGCACAACATCATGACAGGTCAGAGGGTATGCTATATTTCAGCATTCTCTTAGAGCCCCAAACCAACACTATATACATCCCACAGAGGAAATCTGCAACCCAGATGATTCTTCAGTCTCTCCTTCCCTCAAGGGGTAAGGCTGAGACATGAGCACTGTCACATATAGGACAATAGCAGTCCATAGGCTTACCACTGATTCTTTGTTGCCAAAGATAATATTCTCCAGAAATGCTATTTTGCCACAGTGTAGAATCATTTCAGACTTTCATCCTGAACTGTACTAAACAAATATTGTAATTTTTTTAAATCTGAAACTCACACTGATGTTTATTTTCCATTTGACTTGGGGACTATAAGGAATACCAATAATTTTTCAGCTTGCAGAATAATATGTGGTATTGGATTAGTCCCAGGCATGTCTAGGTGACAGGAATCTTTAGATCCTGGTTGGCACAGATTATTAATACCTTACCAAGCTGTTTTAGGAATGTGAAATCTGTTAGTAGGCCTATTTGATGATCTTTAGATCTAGGCGGCATATCTAGGTAAAAGCTTTTCCCAGTGCTTTTCCAAGTGAGTAATATACTAAATTAACATATTTTTCACTCATAACCTATATAGGAATTGTGCTATTTTATATGCTGATCCCAAATGAACTAGTAGGATCAACTGACTAGAAACAGCACACTTTGAACTACTGTATTCCCTAGTTTTCGCTATACCTGCTGTAGAATTGTGGTCTAGAAGTATCTTTATATTGTCACAGTGGTTTTCTGTGACAAATCTCTTTATGTGCTTGATTAAAGGAGCACAAGGTTTTCCGTGGCTTAATGTCTTAGGTGTAGACTAGTTACAGCAATAAACACAAGGAGTCCAATCCATGTTTACCTGAGATTTCCCAGTTGCAGGAAGGAAGTGGTAAGGGCAACATTCAAATCCTGTCTCTGGGCAGTATGGTTATATGTGCACTAAGAATCTGGCCATACTGTGAGCCAGGAGTACCCCATGTAGCCAAACAATGGCAAATGCTGTCCTTGAATGGCAGGACATTATAGGATCACGCCTGGAAAGGAGTTCTTTCTCTCCTGTGCTCCAAGCTTATCCAGGGGACAGTGTGTGTGTTCTATTGGTTTTTCTCGTGTGTGTGTGTGTGTGTGTGTGCGTGCGTGCGTGCGTGTGTGCGCGCTTTGTACTGTCAAGCAGGAACCAACTTATACTGACCCTGATAGGGCTTTCAAGGTAGGTGAGATAATTAAGGAGTAGTTTTACCAGTTCCACTCCCCCAGTCAGTTTCCATGGCCGAGCAGGGATTCAAACCTTGTTCTCTGGAGTCCTAGTCCATCACTCTATCCACTATACAAATACCAGTGTGGATTTCTGGGCTGTAGATATAATTTATTAATCTGTACTGGTATTATGACTACAATTGTACTCACATTGCCTCTTCATAGTTCTGGTCTTTTGAATAATCATGGTTATGATAAAGTACTGTTGTCTATAAAGCATAATAAACAAGAAAAAAGATGACTAATTAGAATTAAATGTTTTTGTCCTTAATTTTACAAAGCTATCCCTTACATGTCTACTCAGAAGTAAGCCCCATTGAGTTCTGTGAGACACACTGGGACCTGTACATATGATTAGGACAACAGCATCAGTCCTAAAATGTCATATTCTTAAACTATGAGGAAGGAATAGCATTAATAAAGTCAGAATGCTATGTGCAGCCATAGAAAAGTGTCAGTAGTGAAGTTCCACCAGGAAATCAGTAACATCCACCTCTTCATCAGCAGTCTATACTGGACTGTGCAATTGATCCAGTTTCCGGATGCCACTATATAATTATATAATGGATAGATAAGCATCACTAGAAACAGACAAGCAGCTCCTCATATTTATATGTCTCCAGCTTCCATCCAGATCATACCATAAACCAACTGTCTACAGTCAAACCCTGATGGTACATCTGGCTCTCCTCAGACCCATCAAACATAGACTCCCAGCTTGTGAATGAAAGTGAACGATTTCTCAGACTGCAATGCCCTTTGAGTGAAGTGGGGAAAAAAAGGATCTACAGGGCTAGACATACTCTGATACAATCTTCTACAGGAAAAATATGGAACATATAACAATAGAATACTACTTGCTTTAACAGCTAAAACTGATCATGTGTTATGAGCAATCTACAGCTTGTCCTGAATAATTACACCTCTTTTAAAAGATCTGTAGCTGGGAGGTCTCTTATAACGTTTATAGGCAGCAAGTGCTGGGACGACATCCTCAAAGTAAGGCCAATTCCAAACAGCAATCATCCGTGTCCATGAGCCAGTTAGCTCATCTCCTCTGGCATGTGAATCACAAGACACAGTGTCTGATCTATGCTTTCTGGACTTGGTACCTCCCTGTTTGCTTATACAGTAGGGCCTTCATATCCACAGGATCAGTACCCACAGTTTCACTTATCCACAATCTGAAAATATTTAAAATATTCATCCCCCTTGATAAATACATATTTCCATTATGTAGTTACCAGAATGGCACTAGAGGGAGCCAGAAACCATGCTATATATGTGTGTTATACATGGTTTTTGGCAGTATAGAGGCTTTGAACCAATCCCCGTAGATAATGGGATTCTACTATATACTACACCATGGTTGAGCTGTCACCACTATGAAGACCATGAGGATATTAGGAAAGGCTTTGCAATACTAGAAAAATGCAAGCTCCTGGAAGTTGTTATATTTTGACTCACTCTGACACCAAGGGCTCTGGATATAGTGATGCAAACAATGAGCTCTCCAACCTTATTTGGAAGCATCTGTTATGCATGAGACCATTGGCTGAGGAGATAAGAAAGACATGCCTTGAAGCAAGTTCTGAGACTTCACCCATGAATGAAGACACAAGAGGACCCCTTGTCAAAATTGCTTATTTCATATGGAAAAATGTTGAAATGCTTAAAGGGAGTATTATGAGATGTAACCTTTAAAATTGGGTTGTGACTAGAAGAAGGATAGGCTACTTGCTTCTAACTGTTGTTCTGAGTCATCATATGTGAATTCATACATTGGTGGCTCTCCTTGCACCTGCACAAGCTCCTCAAAAGCTTCCAGAGAATAGCAAAATATATATATATCACACAACACCCTCACTATGCTCCATTCCAATGAAATATCCCTGTTTCCTTAACATCTGTTGCTGAGTAATAGAATAAAAGATGGTGTGATGGATTGCAGGAAGTAGGGAGAGATGTGTGCATTTGCAGATGACCATTCAAAGAACTACAGTTAGAGGTAAGTAATTGTGGTCTCTATGAATCACACTTGGGTGACTGACAAGCTCACTTACTGGATAGAGGGTAGTCACACCAGTTGGGACAACACTACTTGACCAAAGGAAGCATCAAGCTTGGCTTGAACATCAATTCTATTGTGTTTAATGAAAGTTAACGGTTGGGACCAAGTCGCCACATTACTCACATCTTGAAGGTGAATGTTCTTAATGAACACCACAGAAGCCACCACTGCTCCTATAGAATATCCCAAGACTGAAGGTAACAGCTAGTTTGACAGCAGATAGGACTATCCACTTTGACATGTCTTAGGATAAAACCTTTTCTTTTGCCTTGGTAACATACAGTCTATTTGACTTTCTAAAATGTTTTGCTCTTGAGATGTAAAATGTGAGGGCTTTGTGAACATTCCATGCGTGTAAGGCTCTTTTGAGATTCATAAAAGGAGATAGAAAAAGTGTGGGTAAGACCAAGTGTTGGCTAATATGGAAATCAGAAACCATTTTAGGCAACAAAGACATGTCAGAAGATAACATCACTAACTTGTGCAGGTTAGAAAAATACCCACTGTTTCCTGGAGAGAAAGTGGCGTATGCAGAACATACATCTATCTTATGTGGGCTAGGAAAATGTCTGCTATTATCCGGTTAGAAGAATTGCATCATGTGGAGGACAGAGCTCTGTTCTGTTCTACTTTAGGAAGATAGAAAAATGTCTGCTTCTTTCTGCAAAGAAAAATGTCTCTCCTATACAGGATAGACCTCTATCTGTGTGTTTGTGAACAGTTATTATAAGAGCAACATTGGACTGGACAATGCCAATGTGGCTTTCATGGTGTTAAGGCAGGAAGTAAACCAGCTCACCACCTTTTGAAACAGATGTAGACAACATGTTGCTCAAGCACTTTGCAACCACATTTACATTTGTGCCCTGAAACATCCCCAGTTAGCCCTCTGCCAATTTTGTTGCCTTCTTGAAAGAAAATTAGGAGTTTTAAAATATAAACATAGTTTTTTAACCAATGCACCATCAAGGATGGCAGCAAGGTGCACCCCGCTCATAATTTCCTCATAAATGGCCTCAAGATGTTGTCTGATCCTATGTTGGTGCAAAAACAATAAAGGATATATAGAATCTATGACTCCTTTAAACAGAAAACATAATTCTGTTAATTTAAATGTACTGAGCAATCTACCCTGAAACAACCTGAATCTGCTAACAAGTAAAACATACTTTTAAAACTTGTTAACCCAACTAGAAACAAACAGACCAATCTATCCTAAATACATCTGAATATGGTAATGGGCACTCTTCAGTTCAGATCAATGTTGGCATAGAGAATTTAAGGCTCAGTGTAGAGAAAGCAGCCAAGTGGATTTCTCATGACTCTGTGAGAATTTCAGATGTGCAGGATAGTGTCTCTGCCAGGGGACTGCCAAGCATGGCTGTAACAATTAGTGGCACTGTATCAGTCTCTTTCTGAGTTGCTAGAGTTGGTGAGGCAAATAATAGAAGCCATGTGTAACTATTCCAGGTAAATGTACTAGGTCATATGTTTGGTTCATCCAAAAAATTCCTGCTGGACTGCTAGAGGCCTTGCATGCTATGATCAGTAAAATAGCTGGACAAAATAAATACATTATGATTTTAAAAATAAAAAAAGGAAGAGATATAATATGAAAAAGTCTTACTTACTTCATTCTTAGTACAGATTCCACGAGCTATTTCATACTGAAGATTTGACTTGCGCTTCAGCAAATGTGCTCTGTACATGGTGACTTCAGTAGATAATCCCAGATTTTCCAGAAACACTATCTGAGTCCAAAAGGTTACATTTTCTCCTTTATCCACATAGTAGACGTTTAATTTCACACTATGTTGAAATGATATATATGGACACACTTCATTTAAAGCATGTGTGGCACTAAATATTTCAGTCTTCAATGGGTATGTTTGGCGAACTATGTTAGAATCATTGATTGTAAGCAAATACAAATCACTCAGTGGATTCACATACAGGATATAGGTTTTGCTTTCCTTCTCCCAAGCATTCAGCCTTATAACATCTTTCATGTTAAATTTTAAGAAAAACATTATGTTGTTTTTCATTTTAATGACAGTGTTGCCATCAAAGTCTGCAGAAAGAAAAGGAGAGGAAAATAAAGCTTAGCTGATTTATTGAGCAATTCTACCACTACTATCTACAAAACTGATTATTATATATCTAGTACTAACAACTGATTACTTGTGCTAACAAAAGTGCCAAAAAAAATCTAGTTTGAGAGCTTGGAAGTAACCAGCGGCAATAACTTGTTGCATGTAATTAATTCCTTCCCGCAGTAACAGAAGCCTAACTCAGTTATGTTACATCTTTACCTTAGCAAAAGATAGCTTCATTTCTTTTGTGATGTCGCTATCAGTTTGAGAATGTATGTGCAAGTATTAATAAGACATGTTATCACCAAATGGTGGGGAAAGGATATTATGTGATACAGTGCTGGCTCCTGCTGCCGCCTCATGCTTTGTTCTTGGTATCAAGGCAACAAAGGGGTGGAAAGGAGGAGGGAATATTCTGCAGTCTTGGCCAGAATTCATCTTTTTAAAAAGATTCTAATATAAACTATTTTTTGCTTCTTTTGGAACATAATACAACTAAAAAGGTAACTTCCCATGCCCTGGTGAATAAAAGATACTCCCTGGCATCTACTCTCAGTGACTGGTTGGTAGGGCTCAGAGATGAATTTGGGTATTTTTGGACAGAAGGTATTCTCTAGAAATATTCTTTTACCTGTTAATATAATAAGTATGTACTCTCAAGTCAATTCTGACTTATGACAATCCTTTTCAGTGTTTTCTAGGTAGAGGGTACTTAGAAGTGCTTTTCTTCTTCTTGGGTGCCCTGGGACTGTGCAGCTTGCCCAAGGCTACACAGGCTAGCTCTACTCAGAGGAGGCACAGTAGGGAACCAAAATCCCAATCTCTGGCTCTGCAGCCACCTATCTAAACCACTGCCTCACCTGTCTGATATATTAAAAAGAATACAAAAGCAGTAATTACAAGCCATCTAACTTATGTTAAAGTTATATATTAAAAGGCTATCTCATAAGAAAGGTTTATACTTGTCACTGAAACAACAGAAGGGGGCCATGAGAGAAGGCATTCAATAACCTGGGAGAAGCCACAGAGAAAGCTTTCCCTTGGGCATTATCCTGTGAAGGAAGTGGTACTGAGAGGAGGTGTACACTGAAGATCTTAAGACCTAAGGAGGCTTATATGAAGAGATATAGACAGATAATTTAAAATAAACAGTTTCCTGGACAGAAAAGTGGCCACCAATTAAATCCATGGGAGATCAGACTGGCTCCTAACCCACTGAGGGAGCCTTTTCTTTTCAGACAAGCCTTTAAAATGTAAACTGTTCTTGAAGAAATGAGAGGTTCCTTTATCTTTTTAAATGTGGGATTTAATTGTTTTTAAATGGACTTTTACTAACTACTACTACTACTACTACTACTACTACTACTAATAATAATAATAATAATAATACTAACAACAACAACAACAACAACAACAACAACAACAACAACAACAACAACAACAACAACAACAACAACAATAGGCTGGCAAATCAATTCTGACTTATGGTGAACTTTTTCAGAGTTTTTCTAGGTAGAGGGTACTCAGAAGTGGTCTATCAGTCCCTTCTTCTGGGGGCACCCTGGGGCTCTGCAGCATGCAATGGGCCAAACAGGCTGGCTTTGCTGGGACACACAGTGTGGAACTGAACTCCCAACCTCTAGCTCCACAGTCAGAAACCAAACTCACTCAACTATCCAGCCAGCTTTTTATTTAATACTTTAAAATAATTAATATGTTTAGTTATTTTAATAGTGTGATGCATTGCATTTGTACTAATATTTGTTTTAGTACTTAAATTATTTGTAACCTGCCTTGGATTTTGTCTATAGAGAGAAAGGTGGGGGCAGGAAAAAAACAAGTAAAAGAAAGAAAAAGAAACTTGTTCCCAAATATGCTGTTGGGAACAACATATTTGCTAGGATACTTGCAAACATTGGTCAAGAGGCCCTTAAACAGAATTCAGTTGAGGAGCAAGGTGCTATTTTAAAGGATAAGAAATTACAAAGTACTTGGGGCGGGAGTGTCAGTGATACATCAGAAACTAGGATGGGGGTGCAGGAACCCTCAAATAGAGGGGAAATGATAACAAGGAAGCAGCTGTAGAGAATGACTCATGGTTTCAAATGTCTCTATACCAAGGCAGAACATGGAAAATAAAGTAAGCTGTAACTTTTAACACAGGCGGGCGACTCCGATTTAATAGGCATTATTGAAAACTGGTGGCAAGAGACTCATGATTGGAATGCAATGATTGAATGGTGCAACTTATTCAAAAGGAACAGACCAAATAGGAAGGATGGAGCAGCAGCAGCATTGTATGTTAAGGATGTGTACAGTTGTGATGTGATTCGTAAGTAACACTACAAAAAGCTGGTGGAGAGCATTTGAGTAACAAATAATAATGATATCACTTCTGGGCAATAGTACAGACCTCCTAGCCAGACTGAAGATTTGGATGATGCCATGATGGTTGGGAATTTCTTAAAAGTGAGATACTGAAAGCACGGTGATAAACCATTGTTTTCCAATATTTTTTGAGTCTTGACCCATTTTCATAATAGCCAAATGTGGCGATCACCCACGACACTCGTGTCATTTATATTCATGGGTTGATTTGCATGAACCTATGAGAGGACTGGAGATGCAGAGTCAGCAGCTACATGAGGCTTGATGGGAGAAGGAGGAGTCAGATAGAGATTGGGATGAGAGGCAGATAGAGAGAGAGATAGGGATAGGGCTGGTTAGTCAGAGAGATAAAAGATTGGGATGAGATACAGTGGTGCCTCGCTTAGCGATTGCCTCGTTTAACGATGTATTCGCTTAGCGATGAGGTTTTTGGAGTGATTTTGCACTCCGTTTAACGATGTTTCCTATGGGGAAAATTCGCATAGCGATGTTCGGGACCTTGCCTCGCTTAGCAATGACAGTTTTAGGTCCCCTGTTTTGCTTAGCGATGTTCCGTTTTCGCTATTTTTAAAGTGTGTTAAAAGTTTCAAAAATGGTTTTAAATGCTTGGGATCGTTAGTGCACCTTCTAAAACCTTTGCAAACTTAATTTGGCTTCGTTCTGACTCTTGATTTGCATATCAAGAAACAAATAGCTAAAAATAACTTTCATCTTTTTCTTGTTTGAGCGCTGAGCTGAAAACAACAGAATGAAATTTAACATGGATAAGTTCTACACCTAGGGGAGAAAAACCAAACACACAGTTACAAGATGCGGTATACTTGGCTCAGTAATATAATGATCAAGATGGAATTGTTCTGGATCACAAGCTGAATATGAGCTAACAGTGCGATGTGGCTGCAAAAAGGCCAATGCTATTTTAGGCTGTATTAACAGAATTATAGGCTGTATCAACAGAATTATCCAAATGCTTGGTTTCCAAAACTTGGTATAGATTTCTCAAAAACAACTCATACTAGATTATAAATTTCTGGGTACTTACATCTCAGAGGACCTCTCATGGACTATAAATGCCAACATGCTAATGAAGAAGGCACAGAAGAGGCTGTATTTCCTGAGAATGCTCGGGAAGTTAAATTTATCACAGCATTTACTTCTGTCCTACTATCGTAGCACCATTGAGAGTGTCCTAACCTATGGCATTCTGGCATGGTTTGGGTGTAGCTCTGTAGCGGACAAAAAAGCTCTACAGAGAACCATTAAAATTGCCCAGAATATCATCGGGCTCCAGCTACCAACCCTGGATGACATCTTCACATCCCGCTGTCTAAGGAAATCACATAGCATCCTGAGAGACTCTTCCCATCCTGCTTATAACTTTTTTGAACTGTTACCATCTGGCAGAAGATATAGAACAATTAAGACTCGGACCACACGTTTTCTCAATAGTTTTTATCCCAGAGCTATAATTGCAATTAATAATGAGCTTAAAGACCACCAGTAGTGAATAATTACTTGGACTGTGTTACTTGGCCTGCGGTGTAGATGTTCGTATTTTTAGTGGGGGACTTTTAGTGGGCGGGGAGTGTTTGGGAATTTTATGTGTGTGCATGTGTCTGGTCTCTGGGTGTCTGTGAATTTCGTTGTATGTGTATATACTTACAATGACAATAAATTATTATTATTATTAATCCTATTTCCTTTTTTGAGTCACAAACTTGATGAGAATGCTGTAAATATAGTGTAGAGCGATGGTCATCAACCTTGGGCCTCTAGATGTTCTTGGACTTCAACTCCCAGAAATCCTGGCCAGCAGAGGTGGTGGTGAAGGCTTCTGGGAGCTGTAGTCCAAGAACATCTGGAGGCCCGAGGTTGGGGACCACTGGTGTACAGTATCTTGATTTCAGCAAGGCTCTTGACAAAAGTCCCTCCTGATATTTTTGTGGCCAAGCTGACAAAATGGGAGCTACATGATGCCATGGTTAGGTGGATTTGTAGCTGGTTGACAGGCCACACCCAAAGTGTGAGCACCAATTATTCATCATCCTGGAAGGGAGTGACAAGTGGGGTGTCATAAGGCCCTGTCTTAAGCCCAGTGTTGTTAAATATTTTTGTAAATGACTTGGATGAAGACATGGAACAGATATTAATAAAATTTGCAGATGACACACCTTGGAGGGTCTGCTAACACATCAGAATAGAGAATAAAGATTAAAAATGCCTTGACAGGTTAGAGAACTAATATAAACAATATGAGTTTCAATGGGAAAAACTGAAAAATATGTGTTGACCTTAGGAAGGAAAAATTTGAATTTTCATTGGTGAAAGTTGGTTTGGAATTAGTAGATGTGAAAATGATCTAGGAGTCATAGTGGATTGAAAGTTAAACATAGGCCAACAATGTGATGCATCAACAAAAAAAAACAATTAATATACTAACTAAGTATGTCAACGGACGTGTAATGTCCAGATAAAGAGATACCACTCTATTCTGCTTTGGTCAGATTGCACCAGATTGTTTTGTACAGTTCTAGGCGCAAAAGTGAAGAAGAACATTGAGAAGTTGGGATGTGTTCAGAGGAGGACAACCAAAATGATAAAGGAGATTTCAACAAAACAGCAGAAACATTTTCCTAATGGTGAGAGCTATTCAACAGGGGAATTGATTGCCTTGAGGGGAATATGGACACTTCTTCACTTGCAATCTTTAAACAAAAAGTGCCTGGCTACCTGCCAGGGATACTTTAGCTGTGGAATTACTTCCCATTATTTAAAAAAAGAAAACTCTGAAGACAACATAATAGAACTGTATAAAACCATGACAAAATGTCTAAAAATGCTCTTTAAAGAGTAATGTTACATAGCTAGAAAGTTTTACTCATTACATTAAAATAATTTTTGTTCTCATTTGTTACATTGCTTTTGAAACGCAACTTTGCCTTGCCTTTGTTGGCAAAAAAAGTGATTTGTTATTTTATGTTGCCTTGTAATGCTATTACTTTCAAGCTCTGTTAATGTCAGTGGCCTGCCACTCATGCACTACAGCTACCCCATCATAACTACTGCAGTTAAGTTTTTCAAACCTATTCTATTTTCAATTCACATAGCTACTCATATACAGTGCTGCCTCACTTAACGACGATAATCCGTTCCAGGAAAATCGGCGTTAAGCAAAAACATTGTAAAGCGGAAAAAAAACCATTGAAATGCATTGAAACACATTCAATGCATTCCAATGACATAAAAACTCACCATCTAGTGAAGATCCTCCATACGGCGGCCATTTTCGCTGGCCGTACAGCGAGGAATCCGTCCCTAAGCACAGCGGGGAGCCATTTTAAGCACCCGGTGGCCATTTTGAAAACCCGACGATCAGCTGTTTTTGATCACCGTAAAGCGAAAATCGTTTCCCATAGCAGGGAACCAATCGTCGCTAAACGAAATTCCATTTAGACCATCGTTTTGCAGTGGTGCCTCGCTTAACAATTGCCCCACATTACGACAAATCCACTTTACGACGATCTTTTTGCGATCGCAATTACGATCTCAAAAAGATGGTCTAAATGGGGGAATTTCGCTTAGCGACAATTTGCTGAATTAAGTACAGTGGTGCCTCGCTTAACAACGATAATCAATTTCAGGAAAATCGCTGTTAAGCGAAAACATTGTAAAGCAAAATTAAAAACCCCATTGAAATGCATTGAAACCCATTCAATGCGTTCCAATGGGGTAAAAACTCACCATCCAGCAAAGATCCTCCATGCAGAAGCCATTTTCGCTGCCTGTATAGTGAGGAATCCGTCCCTAAGCACAGCGGGGAGCCATTTTAAGCACCCGGTGGCCATTTTGAAAACCCGACGATCAGCTGTTTTTGATCACCGTAAAGCGAAAATCGTTTCCCATAGCAGGGAACCAATCGTCGCTAAACGAAATTCCATTTAGACCATCGTTTTGCAGTGGTGCCTCGCTTAACAATTGCCCCACATTACGACAAATCCACTTTACGACGATCTTTTTGCGATCGCAATTACGATCTCAAAAAGATGGTCTAAATGGGGGAATTTCGCTTAGCGACAATCAGTTCCCTCCTTCAGGAACCGATTTTCATTTTACGACAATAAAAAACAGCTGACCGTCGGGTTTTCAAAATGGCCACCGGGTGCTTAAAATGGCTCCCCGCTGTGCTTAGGGACGGATTCCTCACTATACAGGCAGCGAAAATGGCTTCTGCATGGAGGATCTTTGCTGGATGGTGAGTTTTTACCCCATTGGAACGCATTGAATGGGTTTCAATGCATTTCAATGGGGTTTTTAATTTTGCTTTACAATGTTTTCGCTTAACAGCGATTTTCCTGAAATTGATTATCGTTGTTAAGCGAGGCACCACTGTACTTAATTCAGCAAAAGGCTTAGAAAGTTCAGCCTGAACTTTATATACCACAGAGTGAGCATAACACAGTCAATATCCAAACCTGTATCTTTCCCACAATACATTTTATGCTAGAGTATCTGACGCTGAAGTTCTTAAAGGCATAGCCCCATCATAGTTTCAGGTTCTGAATATTATCAAATATAATTGCCATAATAACCTAAAACACCCACTAGAAATTGCAAATCAAATGTACTATACTTAACCAATTATAATTTGATGAATAGAGGTTCCTTCTGATGCTGCTGACAATATCTTGTCTGTACCAGCCTCCATCATATATCCATTGACTCTATTTGCTTTGTAAGTGTAATAAACTTTGTCACTGTCCCATAACAGCATAGCTGATCTTGCTGAAGATATAACTTCAATCTCCATAACTTTCACTGTAGGTACAGGCAGAGAAAAATCTCTCAGGGACCACACACTCCTTTCTTCATCATATGCTACCAGATAAAATGTCCTTGTGGAGCTGCACCTTACACAAGCTAACAAGATTGAAACTTCAGAAGGGACTGAATCATAGCAAGCATTTATTATTGTTAAATCCACATTCTTCCTAAATCCAACCGTTTTCTTCAAGGTTTCTACATCCATCACTTGAAGCACTGAAAAGGGCCGGTCATGTGATGCAGCGATGAAGTATATTACATTTTCTGTCCATACGAGCAATGCAGTTAATATTGTTTCCTGTGCCATGGAATGGGTGGAAGGGAAAGGGAAAGAAAGAGAGTAAGACAGAAAATAAAATACAGACACTATTCAAATTGTTGAAAGTTCTGCCACAAAATTACCATAAACAAAATGCATTATTTCCCGACAGGATGAAGCCAGATAACAGGAAGGAGAAAAAAAGGACACAGTAACTCAACCAGAGCCCAGGAAAATGTGTTGCTTTATCCAGATAAAACGTTGACAGGAAGACTTCTTATAGTACTTTTTATCTCTGAGGATCTAATAACCAGATCATTTGGAGGACAGTAAATTGCCTAAATAGTTCTGTAGTTCTTCACATGTGGCAGCTTCACATAAACTTTTTTAAAATTTCATTTTACTAAAAGAACATCAATCATAGACAACATAAATCTACCACCACAATAATATACAATTATATAATACACCAGTGCCACCTTCACCCTCAGGGCTAATATTAATAATATTTTCAAATTTCATTCAAGCTATTTTCAAGCATATACCCCTTCCCTCTCAGAAAGATCTTCCATGTTTTCTTAAAATCATTATTTTTTGATAAACCTCTTCTTATTTTCATGTCACATGACACTGAGACAAAATATAAATAATAATCTTCATCAAGTTCTCTTAGGAAAGGGGTAAACAGGACATCCTAAGAAAACAATAAAACTACTAAAACTACATAACAAAAACATACCAAACAGTAAAAGGAATTAAGGTGGCGGTAGCTCAGGCAACGCCCACAAACTCAGGCAAGCGCACACAGTCTCTGCCTCGCTCGGACAGTCAGCACCATTGAAGGGTGGTGAGGGAGACAGACAAAGCTTTATAGAGCCTCGTTGATTATAAGGGACAGTGAGGTCTTTAAGAATATTAACCTACAGTGGGTAGAATGTTATATCTTGCAATATAGCAAGTTTATCATTAATTGCCATTTCCCATAATTCTCTATACCATTCCTCTAAATTAATTTGGTTATCATTTTTCCAGTTTCTTGCAAATATTAACCTAACTGCTGTAATCATTATTATAATTAAATCCTTATTTTCTTTAAGCAATTGATCCTCCTTGACCATATTCAATAACACCGTTAATGGGGACATTTGAATATTTAATCCAGTTATTTCCCTTATTTCTTTAAAGATTTGCTTCCATTATTTCTTTCTTACTTCACATGACCACCACGTATGTAAATATGTCCCCTTCTCTTTTTTACACCTCCAACATATTGATAAAATTTTATTTATTATATTCAGTTTTACCAGCATTAAATCCCACTTCCATATTACCTTAAAACAACTTTCCTTTATTCTTACAGACATATTCTTCATAATTCTTTTATCCCACATTTATCCCATTCTTCCCCTTTATCCAACTCATGTTGCAACTGTTCTTTTAATCCTTGTGTATCCTGTTCAGCCTGAATTAATAATTTATATATTTGACTTACAGTTCCCTTTCTTTCTGTCTTTTCCTCTAGTTTCAATCTTTTTTTCAACAATCTCTTCAAATTTTCTCATTTGTCTACTATTCCCTTCCTTACTTTTCCATTCCCTTGTCCACAGTTCTATCTGGAGCGTGTTAAGCCAAGAAATCTCCTCTCCTCCCAAAATCTCTTTAAAATTTCCTTTATCTTTCAACTTCTCCATCTAATCTTTTATCCTATTTATACCTTTATCTTTTAATATGTTATTAAACTTGTTTTTGAGATTTTCTGGAAAGTTGTTTAAATCCACAACCTGGGATAAGGGACACATCGGCGGGCTCAATACACACCTAAACTTTTTCCAGCTTTCTAACATGCTTCAAGGAAAGGGTTAGTGACCTTTTTAATCTCTTCTCCAATCTTTTCTTTAAACAATATACTTCCAATTTTTTCTTCCTTACCATGCATTTCTATTTCTGTCCAAATTAAATTTTTATTGCTTTTAATAATGCCTGGGATATGTCTAAATTGATTTGCTATGTGATATAATTTAAAATTAGGTAATCCAAGACCTCCATTTTTGTGTTGTTGTTGTTGTTTAATTGTTCAGTCTTGTCCGACTATTTGTGATCCCATGGACCAGAGCATGCCAGGCCCTCCTGTCTTCCACTGCCTCCCAGATTTGGGTCAAATTCATGTTGGTAGCTTCAATGACACTGTCCAACCATCTTGTCCTCTATCGTTCCCTTGTCTTACCTTCACACTTTGCCAACATCAGGGTCTTTTCCAGGGAGTCTTCTCTTCTGATAAGATGGCCAAAGTATTGGAGACTCAGCTTCAGGATCTGTCCTTCCAGTGAGCACTCCAGGTTGATTTCTTTCAGAATGGACAGGTTTGATCTCCTTGCAGTCTAGGGGACTCTCAAGAGTCTCCTCCAGCACCACAATTCAAAAGCATCAATTCTTCGGCGGTCTGCTTTCTTTATGGTCCAGCTCTCACTTCCATACATCATTATTGGAAAAATCATAGCTTTGACTATGTGGACCTTTGTTGGCAAGCTGATGTCTCTGCTTTTAAAGATGCTGGCTAGGTTTGTCATCGCTTTCCTCCCAAGAAGCAGGTATCTTTTAATTTTGTGGCTGCTGTCACCATCTGCAGTGATCATGGAGCCCAAGAAGGTAAAATCTGTCACTGCCTCCTTATCTTCCCCTTCTATTTGCCAGGAGGTGATGGGGTCAGTGGCCACGATCTTAGTTTTTTTTATTTTGAGCTTCAGACCATTTTTGCGCTCTCCTCATTCATCCTCATTAAGAGATTCCTTAATTCCTCCTCACTTTTTGCCATCAGAGTGGTATCATTTTTTGTGTTACATACCATAATTTGTTATTGATCCTCACTCGTTTATATCCATTATAGTAACAATTCATCGTCTGCCATTCTTTCAGTTGTTTTTCTGTAATCTTTATAAGAAGCATCCAAAATATAAAGTTTTGCTTCACATAAACTTAAAAGTTTCCCAGCTGAGCACCGGCAGCTTCTGATAGTACTCATTTCTTTTCCCCCTGTACCTCTGAAGACCAGGTTTGCCAAGATGCTCATGGTAAAAAAGCAAGGTTCTTGAATTGGGCTTGGACTTCTATATTTTCCAGAAGAAACTTTTAAGATAACAGCCCTCCTAAGTGATGAGATAGGGCTGCCTTCCACAGAAGGTTTTGGAGTCTACAATATGTACTGATCTAGGTAGTGCTTGATACAGTTGACACTCACTAGATGACATGAAGCACTGTGGCATCAGGAAGATCCAAGCTATAAATAATTGGGTTGATCTGCTGCAGGATGATGAAGACCCTTAGTATCAATTACCTACTTTAGCAGAAGGACAGTTGGACTGAAGGGTGATTAGTGTATGATGTTCCGATGGCAATGTAGTATGGTCAATCTACACAACAGCAGAAGGTCTCTGACCAAGATCCTACTGGATCCACCAGTGTAAAAAGCCCTGCCGGCAATGCAGGATCTCTCATGTGTACACAGATGCCTCCCTACACAAGCAGTATGAAAGCCAAACTATTTGTTGCAGGTTCATTGCATTAACACTTTAACTCTAACAAGATTTCAGTCTCCGGGTGAGACAGACACAGATGGGTGGTTCCTGGAGCAGTACTATAGTTAGTATAGATAGCATTGTTATAAACAAATTGTGTAAATAACAAGTTCAAGCCATAGCTGAAGGAACAATTGAGATAATGTCGCAGGATGTTATTTACCCATTCAGTATGTCCATCAGTCTGCAGATAACACACTGTGGACAAGTGTGCCTGTATTCCTGGGAATTCCAGGAATGCCTTTGAGATACACCATTTGGACTGAGATTCTCAGTTTGAAAAAGTGTTATCTGGAAGGCTATCAAATTGGGCCACTTCACTGAGGAATAGCTGAGCTAAGAGAAAAATGAAAATATTGGGCCTAATCATTCATTTTACTGCACTAAGATGAACCTTTTGCTAACCTGTAAATATGATCCAAGTAATCATCTATGATGTCACTTATATGGGATTTCCTGAACCTGCACCAAAAGTTTTAGAACCTTCTAGAACTGAACAACTGTTTTCTGGAATGCACCTGAGTTGCATCCGCTCCACTGTGCTTGTTTCTACTAGTTTCCTCCAGCTTACTTCAGTTTCCCCTGCTTAGTAGCACATGTATTACAGTGGTGTCTTGACTTGAGAACTTAATCCGTATTGGAAGGCGGTTCTCAAGTCAAAAAGTTCTCAAGTCAAATCTGCATTTCCCATAGGAATGCATTGAAAACCATTTGATCCGTATCTGCTCTTTTCCGTCCATAGAAACTAATGGGAAGCTGCTATTCTGCCTTTGACCACTAGAGGGGGATATTTTGTTTCTTTTTTTCTTAGGTCAAGAAAGGTTCAGGGAAGGCAGGGAAAATACAGTCCAGGCAGGACAAGGCAGCCTGAAGTCTCCCAATCCACTCTCTAAACGCTGGGAGGAGTGAGGAAGCAGACAGGCACCCTTTTCACTGGCCAACAGTTAACTGAAAGTTCAAATTTTGCACTTTCCCTGCCTCCCACGTGGTTTTTTTTCCAGTTCTTAACTCAAATCTAAGTATGTAAGTCAAGTCAATATTTTCCTATGAGAGTGGTTCTTAAGTCAAAATGTTCTTAACTTGAGCCGTTCTTATGTCAAGACCCCACTGTACAGTGGACATTTAAAGAAGAAAGGTGGAAGGGTTCTGAATTCACAGAGTACCACTGAAAGAATCATAGTTGAAGGTAAGCAACTTCTACTTCTTCATTGTCTCTGTGATTCACACATACAGGAAAGTCTCATGTTCAACTGCAGAGAATAGGAAAATGACAATATGGTTCTGTCACATGCCGGAACAGTGTTAAATGAAGGTAGACAGCTGTGATGAAGCTGCGGTGCAATATATCTCTGTTATTGAGATCCCACCAAGAAAAGCTATAGATGTTGCAGCTGATGTCACCAAATGGTTCTTCATTTGATCTAGTAAAAAGATCCAGCTAGTTCATAGCAAAGGTTGTGGAAGACATCTACTTTGCCAATCCTGCATAACTTGGCATTTTTTCTGCTGTTTCCAGGTAAATCTTGCACAGGAAAGATGCCATCCTGACAAAGAACTGTCATAGTCCTATACAGTTGGACATATCTTCCAGGAAAAAATGGTCACAAAATATCTTAGAAATTCTGTAGATTTCCCTTGAGATTTATCTAGGGGAAAAGATATTGTGTAGAGAAATCTTGCTTTGGGAAGAGACAAGTTTTTTTCTCGGATTATTTCTGAAAGCTTCTAACATTCAGATCCCTAAGTGGTGTGAACCAAAATTACTGAGACTAGCACCATGTCACTAGCATGCAAACCACATTGTCTGTTTCAGCTTTGCCTATACTCTGAGGAATTGGAGAAAATGAATACATTTTCTACCTATGTAGAAAAAAGCTTCCTAATAAAGCTCACTGATGACTTGCTCTTGAACAAACCATGGACATTACATGTAGAATTTTGTTGAAAGAAAACAAATATCTGTGAAGATAGTCAGGTGAGGTTATCTGGAAGTTGAGTCATTGCAACTGGATTTCTTTCTTATTGGGTTGAACTGTTTCACTACTCACCCAAGTAGCTTCTTCAGTCTGAGACCCCTGATATATCCTCCAGTTTGGTTTCACTACCCCCTGGTCTGAATAGGCTCATTAGATGGACAAGAGGTGGGATTTTCACCTCCAGTCCTTTGTCCATCTAACGAACCTATTCAGACCAGGGGGAAGTGAACCAATGTGGAGATTTATATCAAGGGTGTCAGACTGAAGAAACTACTTGGATGAATAGCAAAATATTTCAGTATAATAAGAAAGAAGCTCAGTTGCCATAACTCAACTTCCAGATGAGTGTGTCTTTAGTTAAAACAAGTCACAAACAGACAAGTTCCTTAATCTCAAAACTGTAAAATTCTATTGCTTATAAAACTGACATCTGTTGAGCTAATGGCATGAAATTTGGCATCCATAAAGTACTTAGAGAAGGCTATATATGTGCTAAATTACAAACCAATCTGATGAACATCTAGAGCTACAGCAAGGTGAAAATCGATGAAAATTGATAGATTAACTCTCTTTTCTCCAGTTTTGGGACAGATAGATTATACACTTCTGTCAAATGTGAGTGAAAACTACTAGAGTCTTTATTCGGGCATGTTGAAAACATGTACTTTCAAATGGTCCAGTGAAATTTTTAGGAGCAAATCAAAAGTTAATATTTTATGCCCATAAGAGGCCCTCTTCTTGGATGCCCACCTTAATGTAGTATCAAAAAGCTGACAGCAATACTGTCAGGCGGCTACATCTCTTCAAGCAGGCTTTTAATAATCAGGATAGTCCCTGAATGCCTTTTTAAAGTTAAGATAGTTTTTAATGTTTGATTTTAATTAAGCGTACTTTAATTAGCATTTAGTTTAATTGCTTTTTACTGTTTAACACTATATTTTTTATTCTGTTCTTTTAAATATTGTGAGCTATCTTAGGTCCCCTTATTGGAAGAAAAGCGGCCTATAAATGAAACAAACAAACAACAACAATAATAAAGTGTTTGCCTCAAAAGAATGCTTGAAGATGGAAATTATAGAATACAAGGCCACTTAATTAAATACGGTTTAAGTGAAAATCAGACTTCTATGACACCTGAAGACAAACATTTTGGATAACTCACAGATTCTGGATATATTGATTCACACCAAGTTCGGGACCGAATTCCAATAACTCCATTTTCTGGAAAGCCTTTGTCTTCTCCAACTCTGTAAAAATTGCTACTGTTTGCAACATACACAGCATCCTCTATTAAAAAGAAATAATAATGAAATACTATAGCAGCATCATAGACATGCTGAGCCATGGCCCTGTCTAACACAGTGGATGGAAATTTAATTTCTTCTGAAGTTTGGAATCCATTACTTGTTCGGAAAACTCCAATATCTGTCAACAAAACTGCTGTTGTTGGAAAACACGCAGCCCAGATCACCATGACATCACTACCAACAGGAGATGAGATGCTGATGTCATATACATCAGGAACAGGCGATTCTGTCTCAGGAATGACAACAGGACTAGGGGCAACAAAACAACCATGAAAAGTAATTGTTTTCCCATGGATATGTGCAATAATATCATCCAATCCAGGGTTCACTGCAATCTTCCAGAATCTGAAAGTAGGGGGGAAAATGAGCAAACCATTACTTTTTTTAATCTTCCAAATCAAGAACAGGTTGCTTACCTTTAAATGCAGTGAGTAGTCATCTGTAAATTTGTATGTAATTTTGCAACTATGTGAAAGCATCCCTGAAATGTTCCAGAGTTTAACAGGCTTAGAGCTTCCTCATTCCCAATTTCCAACTGCACATGCTCTAGCAACTATTGGCAGCTCCTATTCAGTTCCCCTCCATCCATTGCCTTGCATCATAATGTTGGTAAAAGTGTGGCAAACAGAGGGAAGGGGGTTGGGTTGTGTGAATTCACAGATGACTACTTGAAGAACGACAGTAAGTAACCTGTCCTTCTTTGTGGGTTCTGTGACTGACACATATGGATGACTGACAAGCTCGCTTACTAGTTGGTGTGATATTATGCTGATAAATATGAAAGCACTGCAAGGCCAAAAGAAGTGTTTCTCATAGCACAACTACCCAAACAACACGCTTCACAAAATTCATGGGCTGTGACCATGTAGCATGCTATACGAATATCTTGGAGTTTGATACCTCTCAAGAATGTTGTTGATGTAGTCATTGCTTTCAGCTTAATTACTTTTTACAACAGCTAGAAATGGGAGTCTTCTGTATCATATGCCAGCCTAATTTCCAACATACCCCATTTTGCCTGATATTGTAATGAAGTGACTTGTTCTTTATGGGGACCCTGGTAGCAAACAAAAGCCTTACAGACTTTCTGAAACCTTTAGTCCCAGTCATGAAAAAGGTACTTCTAAACCTCTCCAATGGCATTTGGAGAGATGGGTTCAAATGCAATGTCTGAGTGCAAGGTAACCTTTTCTGTATGGAACTACAGATATTGATAATAATGTCTCAGGGTGAATAACTCACTTGCTCTTCTAGCTGATGTTACAGCCACCAAAAATAGTTTGAAAGTTGGAAACTATAATGTGGTCAGTGGCTGAAACAGTGGCTTTATTAACAGTATCAGGATTACAGAGACAGAACAAGAAGATTGAGGCAGTTTAATGTTAGGTAACATATTAAGTAAACACTTCAGAAATCTTTTGAGAGTTAAATTAGGTGCATGATCAGTAGCATGGTCTGCCATCATGCTCTTTAGAGGTGAATGAGAGAGGGTTGTAGAAAGAATCGTACTGTTTTCAAACTTGTTGGATTATATGGAGCCCCTATAGAACTTGCATAGCAAAATTCAAGCTTAAACTGAAGAGAGTAGGAAAAACCACTGGGCTAGTCAGGTATAATCTAAAGCAAATCCCTTAGGGAAAGATAGGGAGAGGGAAAGGTACAGAAAATTGAATGCACACTTCCAAAGAATAGAAAGAAGAGACAAGAGGGCCTTCTTAAATGAACAGTGCAAAGAAATAGAGGAAAATAATAGAAAGGGGAAAACCAGAGATGTTTTCAAGAAAATGGGAGATACTAAAGGAACTTTTTGTGCAAAGATGGACATGATAAAGGACAAAAATGACAGGGACCTCACAGAAGCAGAAGACGTCAGGAAGAGGTGGCAAGAATACACAGAGGAATTATACCAGAAAGATCTGGACGTCCCGGACAACCCAGATAGTGTGGTTGCTGACCTTGAGCCAGACATCATGGAGAGTGAAGTCCAGTGCCAAAGAATGCTCCAACTACCATACAATTGCACTCATTTCACACACTAGCAAGATTATGCTCAAAATCCTACAAGGTAGGCTTCAGCAGTACGTGGACCGAGAACTCCCAGAAGTACAAGTTGGATTTGGAAGGGGCAGAGGAATTAGAGACCAAATTGCTAACATGCACTGGATTATGGAGAAAGCCGGAGAGTTCCAGAAAAACATCTACTTCTGCTTCATTGACTATACAAAAGCCTTTGACTGTGGACCACAGCAAACTATGGCAAGTCCTTAAAGAAATGAGAGTGCCTGACCACCTTATCTATCTCCTGAGAAACCTATACGTGTGACAGGAAGCAACAGTTAGAACTGGATAAGGAACAACTGATTGGTTCAAAATTGGGAAAGGACTACGACAAGTTGTATATTGTCCCCCTGCTTATTTAACTTATATGCAGAATACATCATGGGAAAGGACGGATTGGAGGAATCCCAAACCAGAATTAAGATTGCTGGAAAAAATATCAACAACCTCCGATATGCAGATGATACCATGCTGATGGCAGAAATTGAGGAGGAATTCAGGAACCTTGTAATGAGGGTGAAAGAGGAGAATGCAAAAAACGGTCTGAAGCTCAACACCAAAAAACTAAGATCATGACCACTGGTCCCATCACCTCCTGGCAAATAGAAGAGGAAGATATGGAGGCAATAACAGATTTCACTTTGTTGGGCTCCATGATCACTGCAGATGTAGACAGTAGCCATGAAATTAAAAGACACCTGCTTCTTCGGAGGAAAGCGATGACAAACCTCAA